CCAGCCAGGCATGCATGCCCATGGTGACACTTCCAACGCCGTGCGCATATAAGTTGTATGACTAATACGGGTCAGCCTGTGGGGTGCACCTTCGCTGAAGTCGGTGAAAGGGCACGTTTTCTCTGGTTTCGCCTTCTCGGCGAAGCATTGTTCACAAATCAAATCACAGTTGTAGTATCTTTCAAAGCGGTTGGCCTGCATGCGTGCTTTCATATCCGCTTTGAAGCCAGTGTATGCTAGCTTGAAACCGCCGGACAAAACCTGTCCCTTCAATCGATGCCTCCAAGCACTCTGAAAAGGTAGCCCGTCTTCGCCAACGGTGGGTCCCAAACCGGTCGCTGCACACTCCATGCTCCATGCTAGTATTTCCGCAACACGTTTGTGAACGTGCGCTGCCACGGAGTCATCCCTCATAGCCACGTGCGGGACGATGCAAAGCGGCATCTTGCAATCCCACACCTATAGCTTAAGCTAGCTATCGTATGGTCGTTCGGGGAATCTTGGGGATATTCGGGTATAGCTTGTTATAAACCACGACAATGCCGAGAAACATCAGCCTTTGCATGAATAGAGCTCATTGACCAAACAACATATTCGTTGTTCTTGTAGAACTCTGCTCCGTCCACGTGAAAAACAACCGGCAGAACTCCTTATTTAGGCACCATGACGGAAGCATGTAAACTTTGAACACATGAAAAAACTGGATTGTGCTTCACCAAGGAGCTTTCTAAATCATTTTTCGGATCATTGAGTACTGGATGATCTTTCCACTCAGTATGCTGCATTGCATGCATCCAGAAACTCTTCATCTCAGCACCAGTGCGCCCACCAGTCATTGAGCGGGCAAACTGCGCAAGGGCTTATAGACTGGAAACCACAAATTAGTCAGGCCTTCTGGTAAGAACACCACGGGACTTGTTTAGTCACCCGGCCTGCTCACGGCCTGAGTTGTACAAGCAATGCAGAATCTCGTGCGGAAGGAGGAACGGAATCTCCACTGTCTGGGGCTCGTCCTCGTGTTCAACCTCAGAGAGTTGGATAAAATCGTCAGAGGGACAAAGGTTCGAAGAGAAAGCAGAGAGAACCGAACAGGCTATACAGAGGCAGAGCCAGAAAGGGCAGATAGAACGAGAGATCGAGAGAGAGAAAGCAGGGATAACACAACTACTGAAAGGGCAAGCTGGAGCTAGTGATGAAGTTAGAAGTATAGTTGCACCCGAGAAGCATTAACATCCATCAAGACGTTGTACATCTCTAGTTCAAAACCAAACAGCCGCTTCAGCCAGTTGTGCAAGTCGCGCTCTTGATTGGAAGGATGCTTGCCCTCCCCTCCCAACGAAGCGAATGCCTTCACAGCTTCCAGCGGCAGCCCGTCCGAAACAGCAGCCCTAGCCAAATCAGCGATTTGTGCCACCGTTGCTCGTCCAGTACCCAGCATACCTCCAACATACGTATAGGAAAACTCAAATACTATTTGTACTATACTAATAAATAAAGACATCAATCTGTCGCAAAACACGAAAACTTGTAAAACAAACACACTCCCACCCACACAAACACACATTCTCTCTCCCTCCCACATAGTCTCTCACTCTCCCAATCTATCTTTTTCTCTTTCTCGAGCTCGGACTTATAGACGGTGTCATAGGACGGGACACGTATGAACTCTTCACCCACCTCGCTGTGTTGCATGTCGTCGAATTTGCGCTTGCGTAGACTCCTTAGCATGCATATAACATGTTGGGACGTAGCCTTCGCGTAAAAAGTTGCGGAGAACGATTATAACCATAATTTGTAATACTTTGGTCGAAGGGCAACTTGGTTTTCAGGGTTCGAGGCATTAGCTGAGGCTGGCCTTGAAGGTTGAGCAATGCACTCGAGCCCCACTGCTAGCTTGAATTTAGCTTAAACCCAACAAGCGACACTATCTCAAACCTTCTAAAGTAAACGGCGGCCCTCCCAGACCCTCGCGTTAGCCCGTGACCTCAAAACCCACCCTAAACCCTTTAGAACCCAAAACCCCACTTGACGAAACCTCACGAGGCTCGAAGCGGTGGAGGTGCTGGTCGCGATGCTGGATTGGCCTCGGAGGAGCAGACTGGCTAGGGTTTAGTGTTGGGGTGTGCGGGTTTACAATAGGATCTGGCACCGGCTAGTCCCAGGGTTTTTTTTACAACTTCACACCTTGGCTTTGGCAGATGAGGAGTAACGACTTGGATTTCGTGGCTAGAAACACAGGGTATGTTGTGCTGGAGCTTATACAGGGATAGTTCAGATAATGCTTGCAAGCGTGCAGGGCTTCAAGATTCGAACTAGAGCCACTGAAATAACTGCATACATAGCTCCCCAATCATCGGTTTTGTTCGCAAAGCATGCGAGCGGTTCTCGAGTCCATGCGTGTGCATGGAAGAATCGTGGAGCTGCAAAACTGCGCTGTATCAAAAAGCACTGAATCATCGATCATCATCAAGAGGGCCTTTTAGACACTCTTGGCTGGGGTGTCTTTGACACCCTTCTTGTTTTTCTTCGATTTGCTCTTCTTGAGTCCGGACTGAAGGGCTTTGGCAGACGCCTGGCGGGATCAAAATATTATGAGTTTATGGGGACAACTACCTCTAAGATGAGAATTGTATAACTACCTGGGTATAAGGTTTGGGTTCTATACTTCGAAACTATATAACCACGATTGGGTAAGGTTTGGGCTCTTGGTAATTATATGATTTACACTGACCCGAATATCTGAATGGCCTCGGCTTTCTTGTACCACTGATTCATCGCCTCAAAGATGGAGTAGAACTTCTCAAAGCTCGCGTTGTTTTTCACCCCGCGCTTCTTCAAATCTTGGAGTTTGGCATAGATGGTCTCGAGTTTGACACTGTGCTTCTTCATCTGGGCGACCAAGTCGTCGCTGTAGTCGAGGTGGGCCAAAGAGATGCTGAACTTACGTGCTTCGCTGGCCTCTTTGAGGATTTCGTCCATCTTGTCTTGGACCAACCTAGGATTCAGTGTTATCGACCCAAACAGAAAAACCGGGCCCAGCTATATCGTAACTATCATATGTTTAATTCGAAATCTAGTAGAGATTTTCGATAAGTCGGGATGCTCCCACGCTTCCTTCGGCTCCAACTCCTCGGTCTCCTCCTTGGCCTTCTCCATTTTTCTCGGCGGCTTGGCTTTCGTGACTTCGCCATGCAAAGCCTCGAGCACCGCCTTGCTTCCCGCTTCGCTCGCTCCAGCAACACTTGGCAGGGCACCTGCTGCCAGAGGGCCGCCCTCCAGCAGAGCCTCTCCCAACTCCTTGTCCGGGTTGTCCTTGATCTTCAGCGTCAGCTTCTCCTTGGTCTTGTCATCTCTGCGTACCGTGGTTCCTTGGCCGACAAAGTAATAGTATTCCTCGGGGTCGTCCGGGAAATCTTCGTCAATCTCGTACATTCCCTTCTTTGTCAACTTCGTGATGAGCTGGGCAGCCTTCCTTAAACCAACACTATTCAATGTGTATTATGGGATTGGCTTCGGTGCGGGTGCGGGGGTGTGGTCCTTAAGGGGTTTGTGGTGGGTCGAATAATGTAGTCTAATTTAACACTACATTTCGGGGCAGGATATTGGGGGGTTGTTTGGGTTTGCGGGGGCGGGGGCGTGGTCCTTAAGGGGTTTGTTGTGGGTCGAATAATGTAGTATATTTTTAACTCTACATTTCGGGGCAGGATATTGGGGGGTTGTTTGGGTTTGCGGGGGCGGGGAAGCTTTATTATTCGGCAAAGACTCTCGACGGGGTACTTCTTCTCGATTTCCCGCTTTTTCATTCCCTGGCGCTGTCGTCTGTTGAGAGTGCTCTGTTCGGTCGAACGTTCGATCTCCAACTGCACCCTTAGATGATGTGTGTTGCTAGACAAGAAGTCTGTTGTGGGTTACACTTGAATCAAGGTAGCACACACCAAACAACGTCACCAATATCGACCAGCCACTTCTCCCAATCACCACCGGCTTCTAGCCACTTACGAAAGACATCCGTCTTCCCCTTGATGATGTGTGAACTCAGAGCTTGGGGGAACGTTTTCCGGTTCTGGATCGCCCTGTGGAAGGTGTCCCATTCTCTCTTGTGTGTGGTACCTCGGGATATATCTAGAGTACAAAATAAGGCTGCAGTACTTTACATATAGTTCGAAGACAATCATGTAATCAGCAATAATCGATCATGGTAAGTTTCTGTTCGCAGTCGCATAGAGCTTCTTGGCTTCGGAATCGGCTGTTGCCACTGTGCTTTCCAATCCCTCAGCCGCCTCGGGCTTCAAGGCTGCTCGGGCCGGGGGCTCCTTGGTCTCCGTCTTCTGCTTCTTATCCTTCTTCTCCTTCTTCTCCTTTTTGTTCGTTTTCTCCTTCTTTTCCTTCTTATCCTTCTTGTCCTTGTGGTTCACCGGGGTCGGCGTCGGCTCCGGATCCTTGGCCGCGCTTTTGATGGTCTCCGCCTCGGACTCATCCTTCTTGTTCTTCACGAAAGAGCTCGGCTTCAAAGCCGACTTGCGGGGCGGGGGCTTCGCCGGCTCTTCCTCCTCGGACTGCGAGTCGGGCTCCTCGGAGTCGAGGCTGTTCTCATCCTCGGACACTTCGGCCTCACTGGCCGCCTCCTCGAGATCCCCGCTGCTGACGTCGGCGGAGCTGACCCCGCTGTTCTCGGCAGCCTCGGAAGAGGTTTCGTCATCGGAGCAAGAGGAATCCACAGAGTCCTGCATATAGTTTCAATTAAATTCACTTATCCCAGAAAACTATTTACTTAATCTATTTGTTAGAAACCAATTATATTCACTTATCCCAGAAAACTTTTAGATTAATCTATCGGTTAGAAACCAATTACATTCACTGGTCCCAGAAACTACTTATTTTATCTGTTACAAACCAATTACATCCACTTAACCCAGAAAACTATTTAATTTATCGGTGAGAAACCAAGTACATTCACTTATAGAACCCAGAAAACTATTTAGTTTATCGGTTAGAAAGCATTACAGGATTTCAGTATAGTTCTCCTCGGCTTCGGCCTCCAAGTCCTTCTTCAACGACTTGCGAGGGTGCTGGCTGAGGTAAGCCGCCACCGTTTTGCCCGCAGCCACTGCCTTCTGCTTCACGTCCATGCAGTCCGCCACACTCTTGCGTTGCGCACTGTCGGGGGAGGTAGTCCGGCGGACCTTGCTGGAGGGGGTCTCCACGGCATCGGGCTCGGCGTCCTCCTTGGACTGCTTGTTCCTCTTGCGTTCCTTCACGGCATCACGAAGTGCCTTCTTCTTGGCAAGCTTCAAAGCTTTGGCCGCCCTGGCTCCGTTCACGGAATCAGCTGCTGCCTTCTCCTTTGTCTTGCCACGGCAAACCTTGATAGGAGACAGCAAGTGAGCTGCCCTGCCTCCCTTGGGTTTACCCATCTCGAAGTGCTGCCGCCGATGGCCCAAAGTAGGGCAACTCGATCAAAAGCTGCGAATATGGAAGCAAGAAGTCAGCCAAGAATGGGAGCTCAGCCAAGAATGGGATTACTCAGTGGCGTCTGGTATGAAGGCAAAAATTGAGGCACTCAATGCTGAATCGTTGCGGCTACCTACATTGGCTGTCCGGAGTCACTTCGTTTCGGGAAACTTTTGGCTATCTGGGGCTCCTTAGGATCCTTCGGGTTTGCTTCGGGCTCGTTCGGGTTCGTTCTGGTTCGCTCGGGTGGGATTTTGGGGGCCATATACCATTCGTGGCTGTTCGCGCTTTTTCGCGGCTGAGTTCGCGCCCAAACGCGGCTGAGTTTGGGGCGGTTTCGGGCCAAACCGAACCAAACCGAAAAATTCCTGCCGAAATTGAAAATTGAAAAACGAACCTAGCAACAAAGGAGCCAGAGCAGGCCACCCCTTTCCAAACGGGCCCCGTGGCTAAGACCCTCCGAAAGCCAAGAATGGGACAGCTCTCCCTCGGAGGCGCCCCGGAAACATAGCTTAGAACGAGCAATTGTTAAATTACTAATTACTATAATAAGTAAATATACCAGGTCCCCGGCTTTGTTGCCGTTGTACAGCATTCTTCAGAACGAACCGTGGCATCCTGCGTGTTTGGGCTGCATGAACTCAGTGGGACTTACATATCGTAGCAGAGAACGGTTCTACGATAGCACGAAACAACTGCGTTTAAGGGTCGAGGGTCTCAATACAAAGTTTCCTTTGGGTCCTGGGTTCATATGGATGGATACATATCCTAAACTGGAGGTGGAAGGGAGGCATATCCTAAAGGTGGAAGGGAAGCCCGGGGCGGTGGCCTCGAACCTGAATACGATTTGGGTCTCTGTTGCTGCTTCGGGCGTCACAGCTTCAGGCCGGGATTGAATAGGAATACAGGACATATTGTTAATGTTGTTTTGAGTGAACATGTACACACGAAGATAAGGAGCAATGCTTCTTGTTTCTGGGTCATCTGTGCTGTACATAGATCGAACCTACATACTCCATTTCCCACACTTCTCAACATCCCGAGCGAGTGTGCAGATCTGCTTTGCAGAACTAATTACCATGTGTACGTGCATCAACTGGAAGGATCTCCGTGGTTGCTGCAAAGAGAAGCTGCCCGGCTCGGCCGAGCACCGAGATCACACCAGCTGAAGCAAAGGGTCCCAGGCAGATAGGAGGCAGTTGCTATTAAGGTCGAAGACGATACGTTCACTGGGTGATTTTTCTGCATCGGGCACTGCTTCCGATCATGTCTGTGCACTAGAGCATCTGGAGTTTAAAGTCCAGGGAGAGTCATGACTTGCGACAAATTAGCAGCCACGAACCACTCTGGACTCGTGTCATCTTGCACTGCTGGAGCTTTGACTCTCTTGGCGTAGCGCAACCACCTTCTGCTATCCGCCTTAACAGCAGCCGAAACCTCCGATCGAAGATCTGCAAGAGCTCGCCCGAACCTCGCTCGGCCCAGGCCGGGCTGGACGGACACCGTGCGCAAGGGCGGCTCAGGGGGTTTCCGGGTGTTGATTAAGAAGGTCACAGGATTATGCAATGACTTTGGGCTCATATAGTTTTTAGATAGTTTCTGGGAATTCGGAATTAGATGGTTTGAAGCCAGAAAGAATAGGACACTTGCCTCAAAGGCACAGGTTGCAGGGTCTAGGGTTTCGAGGTGTTTGGGAGATCGGGGTTATTGATTTATGGGGCCGCTACTTATGATCACACCCCTTCAGGGATTCGATTGGGAACCGTATAACATACACCGAAGCTTGCCTTCGAAACAGTATATGTACCGAATTCTAAACCAAGGCTCTGCCACGGGTACGATTGGCTAAGTTTCAGGTCTTTCCCCCCTGTAACCTTGGCATTGCCATCCTGGTCGTAGGTCCGCTGAACCATTTGTTTTTCCGTCGAACATTCGGGAAGCCATCTCGGGCGATGCTTGTAGATGTCGCCGGTTTCGGGTCTATCTTAGCCAGTGGATATGGGCAAATAAACAACTATACAATTAGCAAACCTGTAGGAACTCACATAAGATGTATATATGTCCATATATTATAATTGATTAATTTTCTTTAATTAATTATAATTAATATACAAGAATATATATATATATATATATATATATATATATATTATGTATACATACTTATATATGTGCAGATGCATACATACATACCTACATTACTGTCATGCTGCAGAAGTAGGCTATGATAGCACATGCTACATATAAAGTATTATAATACTATATATGTATAATGTGCTATCATAGCCTACTTCTGCAGCATGACAGTACGAACTCTACGAGTTTAGCGGGGCACTAGAAACAAAGACTTCGGTAGATTATGGGGTATATGTTCGAGTGCCAGCGAAACATTCTGAGCAGCCGGCTGCTGTAGAGCCAGGTGGGCTTGTCCGCCCAATGACCATATGTTTTCATCTGCAGCGAAGTGCGGTAAACTGGTATCCTCTGAATCAGCCATTGGAATAACGGGTGCTCTTCCAACAAGCTTCCTCTAGGTTGCTCCAGGATCCAATAGACCCCCTTTGCCGAACAAACCAGTAGCAGGACCAGTGTTCTTACCGTCAAGAGATTGCCTTGCCACACGGAAAGGATTTGATCATCCCCAAGTGGTCGCCCCATAGAACGACGAGTCTTTGACCGTGATCTCGGGATCACAAGCAAAATCAATGTTTGCCTTTTTCGAAACTACTTTATATTTACGATCCTTCTTTAATGACTGCTGTCCAGGAACAAGAAAACCCACGATGCACAAACCGGTGCGAAAAGAGCACCGGAACCTCTTATTCAGTCGGCAGCACTGTAGCACTGCATGCAGAAAGCCCGGTCCGGACAATAAATCTTGACCAAGAGAGTCATACCTGATGTCGAAGCAGGCAGCCGCTCGCAAATCCTGGTCCAACTTTGGGTGCATGAGTGGGCAAGGCTGCGTGGGTGCGAGGGTGAAATTAGGGGCTCTGGCAATTCGCCTATTTGGCCCTCTAGTCGTCTGTTGTTGTAGGATCCCAAATGCACACGTCTGGCACACCCAACAGAACAAGCCTATCCCCCCTCCCTCCGTCGTAAGAAAACGAAGACATGTCATGACATCGGCTTCACGGTCCTGTAGCTCGGCTACTGTGACCGCTGAATCGCCAGCAAAGACTTCGAAATGATCCAGAGCACCAATGCCGGCACACACCGGAAGATCCAGGACCAAAGAAACCAACATGCCGATAACCTTGGCGATGGGGTTGGAAAATATGAAAGGTTGGACCACAACACTAGAAGCGTATGCAGATAGCTATGCAACTAGGCGACCATTGGGGCACCCATAGCTTTCAACCCAGACAGAATCCATCTGCGCTGTTGCTTTCGGCAGAATGTCGTTTTGACGGGCTGCCGATGCTTGGGATGGCGACTTTGATGCTTCGCCATTGCAATTGCAATACTTCAATCTACAGTTCTTTTGAAGAAGCTACTCGACACATGTTTCGCTGGCAGGATGGGCTTTATTAGTATTTGGAAGATCATATTTAATCTGTAGGAGGAACTAATTTATGGCTTCTGTTTCACGGCATAAAAGACTCCCAGGGCTCGGAAGTGTTCCCAGTTTCGGGGAGGATGGGCTTAGGTTGTGGGGTATGGAATATGATTTCGGAGGTGTTTGGTTTAGGCCCAGTTTAGGCTTTGGGGTCTCAGTTGTTGAGGCTTACAGCTCCAGGGTTTTGGGGGCTCAGGTTTTAATTCAAAGGCCTGAATATTGTTCATAGCATAGGGTAGTACTCCCTATTTCTGTCTATCTATCTAGACTCTATCGATCTGCATATATTTATATTTATATATGTACATACATATAGATTCACATACATACCCCCAAAACCCTGCTCCAAGAGTCCTCCGGTGTCTCGAGCAAGATAGTTGCACGGGTAGGTCCGTAAAACGAGGGTGTACATAGAGCCTATAAAGTGCTTCTCAAGCACTAAAACCATAGATAGATAAGGGGAATCATATGAGTATATGCTATCCAAAGCCCGAACCCTGAGGCCTCAAACCCCTAGCCTGAAAAAACCCTCCCGAAAACCAAACCCGGGACTGAGAATACCAAAGCCCTGCATCCCTAAGCGTCCGAATCCCAACAAAAATCTAAGCCCCGAAGCCGTAAAACCTTGCAGTCTCTACAAGCGTGAATCACACCAGAAATCCCCAAACCCTACAACCCACACGCAGCTCAAGCCCGAAACCCACGCTACGGGGAAGCTTCAGAAAGGCGATTTAAGTTCTGGCTACGGGTTTGAGGTCTCAAGAACAGATATCGAAAGACCTAGAAGCAAACCAGCCCGGAGCCCATTATCTAAATCTATACGACGCTGCTCCTATTCCCTGGAGACCATGCAGAGCTCCTCGAGTGGTCACGATGTACACCAGTGGCAGGACCGAACCTGTGCCAGGAAAGCTTGACTGTGCAGGGTTCATGGAGCGGCTCCAAAGAGATTCTTTATGATCCGTGCAGTACAGCAATCGAGTGCACAAACGATTTTATCACGTGTGATCCAGCATGTCACCAGCAGCACTAGCACCGTATCGCATGAAGCCTTGAGACAAAACCTTTAGGCCACACGAACTATGTACAACCAGGTTTCACCCCTCCCAGCTGTACCATGTGTGGCTTGTGCCCGATCGATTTGTCAATCAGTTGGCGACCACAAATCCTCCCATTCTCATGGCTTTCTGCCAAGCCTGCGCCGGGCCGCCGCTCTTCTTGAAAGCGATGGTGCCTTTGGCACCACCCGGAGCAGGCTTTTTCACGTAGAATGCTCCTTTCTTCAAAAGCACGTCCACGGTGCCTGCTGGATTGCTGTCACCGTTCATGTAGATCTGCTTCGTGTAGCTGTAGGCGCCGTTGTGGGGCAGGGTCCAATCTGGCAGCGACTCAGTTGGAAATCCTCGCAACGAGAAGCCCTTGAACTCCGGCTCCGCATCCGCCGGCTCGGGGACCTCAAGCTCGCGCTCGTCCTCGTCATCGGAAGGGACCCTCGTTGAGGCTGCGGCCCCTGTAGAGCCACTAGACAGCCTCGCCTTCTTGCCATCGGACAAATGCATCAATCTGGCACGCTTGCTGCCACGCTTGCTGCCACGCTTGCTGCCACGCTTGAAGCTAGCACGCTTCGTCTTGATGCACTTGCCACTCTTATCAGCCCTCTTGGCCTTGATCTTCGAAGCCTTGCTCTTGGGCTTCGTGGACTTCTTCTTGGCCTCGAACTCATGAGAGAGATGTAGTACGTGCCGGGTTCATGCAACTACAGCATATGCCACAACGTGTACCTTGCATGCATAACAACAAACACACCATCCCCTTAAAGCACCTGGTAGATGACAGCTTGCGATGGATTTGCTTGCAACTGCTCCATCACAGGGCCAATGTTCGAAGGCTCACTCAACAAAGCGGTTTGGCAGGAGCGGCCAAAACTAGGCAAAGCTCTGGACTCAGTCTTAGCACCAATACTCAGCATGCCCATGGCTTCGTGTAGCGAGGATGCCTTATATCACACGCACACAACGTAGCATGCAACACACAGAGGTGACGAGAGCTTTGGAGGTGCTGCTAAGGCTCAGAAATCGCAGGCTTTGATGCAGAGTCCTCGTCGTCCCTGAGAAAGCGCGGCTTGCAAAGGGGGTGTTCTTCAGGAGGTACCAGCACATGACCCTTCACGGCGACGCCATTATCATCCATCGCCACGGGCCAGCACTTGCGCGACTCATGATCGGGCATAGGCTCTTTTGGTCCCACGAAGAACTTATGCCTCTTGAGCATGGGGGGGCTGGGCTCACCATACTCAGGAACATCGTGCACCGAGCAATCATCCTCAGCCTCGTCGTGCCGGCTCGGTGACCTCCACGCTTCGTACCAATCGGGCACGGTGTCTTCATCGTCGTCCTTGCTTTGGCCCAAAACCAGTGTCTCGGCATCGGTGAGGCCCTCCTCAAAGTCCGAATCCTGATCACCTTCGCTCGCTGCGAGGTCAGACCGGTCCTCACCGTCCGAAGCCTGGAGCTGCTTCACTTCGTCATCGCTGTCGAACTGAGCCAACATTTTCTGGAGCTCGCTGCGGGTCACCTCCTTCGGCCAAGTCTCTACCGGACCCTTGATGGACTCGTCGTCGCTGCTATCCTTGCCATCACCCATGGACTCTTCGTTGTCGCTGCTCTCCTGACCATCGGCCACCTCTGTGGCAGCGACAAGGGCCATGCCGTGGCTCGCCTCGTCACCGGCAGCCTCGGCCCGATCATCGCCCATGGACTCTTCGTCGTCGCTGCTCTCCTGGTCGTTGCGAGCCTCTGTGGCAGCATCACCGGCAGCCTCGGCCCGATCATCGCCCATGGACTCTTCGTCGTCGCTGCTCTCCTGGTCGTTGCGAGCCTCTGTGGCAGCATCACCGGCAGCCTCGGCCCGATCATCGCCCATGGACTCTTCGTCGTCGCTGCTCTCCTGACCATCGGGAGCCTCTGTGGCAGCCTCGGCCCGATCATCGCCCTCTTCCTCGTCGCTGCTCTCCTGACCATCGGGAGCCTCTGTGGCAGCCTCGGCCCCATCATCGCTCATGGACTCTTCGTCACCGCTGCTCTCCTGACCATCGGCAACCTCTGTGGCAGCGACCAGGGCCATGCTGGGGCTAGCCTCATCACCGGAAGCCTCCTCCCCAGAACCACCCTCGGACTCTTCGTCCTCGCCGCTATCCTTGTCACTCGCAGCCTCCTGCGAGCAACTCGTAGTTGGGAAAGGGTGTGTTGCAGAAAACCACAGAAGAGAGGGAGAGAGAGAGAGAGACACACTAACACAAACCAAAGAGAGAGACGTGAGCTTGCAATCTACGTACATCGCATAGCTCAATCACTCGGAAAGGACCCAGAAATCTCCTCACGGGCGACCACTGCATCATCAGCTTGAGGCTGAGCGCGTCGATTGCGGTTGGCTAGGACCTGGGAGTTTGGATTCGGGGTCTTTATCATTTAAACATTCATGAAGGCTGAGGACACTGCTCGCGGGGAAGGCTTCAAGAAAGATTTCAGCTCTGTGACATATGGATCCAATGATTTCTCACCTGAGATCACACGGCTCGCAGATTAAGTAAGGTTCAGGGCTCAAGAAACCAGCTGCATCGATCTTGCATCCTATATCTAGTCAAGGTACCGTTCCTGTACAAGTAGCGCAAAGACGAGATCAGCTTTTTCAGCTTCCCAGCTTCACGACCGGCCAAGTCTTGTTTCGTCAGCAGGGCTTCCGGGGTGTCTCTCTTTGCAACCAGGAGTTTCTTGTCCAGGGTTCCATCTAGGTAAAGGAGCACGTCCGTCAAGTACAGTGCTGATGGCACCTGTAGTGAAGGGGAAATTGTCGTTCAAACAGAACTAACAGTATGAGCCACGCAGTGCTGACCTATATACCCGGCACCTTGTCCTCGAACATCTGCACTATTGGACGCAACCATACATAGTTCACCCGGATCTCCTGTTGTTTGGCAGCGGATGAAGGCGATATTATAGAAAAAAGTTCAAACTCTTGCACGACATCATCCCGATCCTTGTAGCCCGGCCGCGATATGAGACTATCCAGAACCACGAGATCCCCTCCGCCGAATCGGCCCTGCTCGAAGATCTCTCTTGCATTCTGTGGAATGTTCGCCAGCATAGTGTTGGCCAGGTCAGCCTGAGAAGCAGTTCCAACCATAACACTACGAAAATGATGGAGAACAACCGTTTGTGCTGAGGTCTGCAATCGAGGGGCTACCTGCTTCTCTGTCCAAGCGATCTTTCCGGGTCGCACCGATTTCCACTGCGGGGCCGGGTTGGCGGCCGCAACTACTTCTGCCATGCTAGCTTGTAGAGACGATCCTAACTCTACTTTGCACTGCAGGGCCTGAAAGTCTCGGGAGATACAGCACGTCAGCGAAGCAGTTCAGATCCTGAAACTTCGTAATCTAGTGACACACACAACCTCAAATAAATGTGACATATCTTACGCTTAGTTCTATATGTCTGTACAACATTCTATATATATATATATATATATGCATATATGTCTGTATTTTATGTGTTTATCTGTCTTATAGTCATGTGTTTACTTATTGATTTGATGCTATATTTGTATGCTTTCATACAGACACATGTCGGTAAGATGTACTCGTACTCGCACACGGGGCACGATATATGGGTACACACTCTCTGCCCGTTGGAGCCTCCGCCGGTCGAAGCGAGGCTACTCGCCCCTGACCTCGGGACGTGTTTGGGTTATCATATCGGTCTAAAATTATTCAGAACTGTTTCGCCGAAGACGACTGTACTACAAATAAGATATCAGATAACCTGAGCAATAGCCCGGAGACAGATGAGGCTAGGACTTTTCTTTCCCAGCTTCAGCACGGCCAGCGTGTAGCCGGAAGCACATGGGAAGCAAGGTCCACGGTTTCAAGAAAACCCTATAGTCTGCATTCTCGGGTTACAACATCGGTGTCTACAGCAGGAGCTGGAGCAGCATATAAGCCCGAAATCAAAAGCCCCAGACTATGCATCCTAAATTTCGCAACTCATGCGACCTTAGGGGCTCAAGGCTGGCTCAAGCAATGGGCTCTTGCCCTTTGGCCAAAAATGGCACTCAGGAACAACAGAAGCTCCGAGCATGGGGCTATATGGTAACCAGCGAGTCGAAGTGATAGGTTTTATCGGATTCCCACGGCTCATCAGCACCCGGAAAATGGGAAGGTTCTGTGCTTCCAGCGAGTAATATGCGGGGATAGGGATTAAGGCTTAGGGTCCAGGGTTCATGGGTGCTATGATGGGGTTCATAGCACCCATGAATCCCGTTTTTTTGTTTTGGCACTTGTCGCTTGGCCAAAAAGCCACATCAGCTGAGACATATCAACGCAAGTTGGCTACTACAAACGCAAGCTGCAGCTATCTTTGGTAGAACAGCTGTCCCTAGGACATCTTTCGATCCTATCGGTTTTGGAGTTACACGGAAGCAGCTATATGGGATAGCTTACCAGGAGAGAAGGAGTACGAGGAGCTACGTGTTTTCTTTGCAGATAGATGGGATCAGCCCACTATCAACACGTGGAAGAAGAGGCGCAAGAACTACACTGGCAAGAAGCAGAAGGAGAAGAACGGGAAGCTTCTGGTTTACGCCAAGTGTTCTCCTGCAGTCCAAGCAGAGCTTGACAAGACTAGGGAGAAAGAGTGGAACAAGTGGAAGGAGTTTAGCGCCGCAGTCGTAATCGACAAGAACCAGTTGGAAGAGCTTATACGTGAAGGACATCAGATTATTCCAACACAATGGGTCGAGGTCGACAAGCACCACGCGCAGCGTTTAGCGGACCCCACAATGGAGGCCAAATACAAGTCTCGACTTGTAGTGCGTGGGGATCTCGAGCAAGGAGACCCAAGGTCAGACAGCCCTACGGCTAGCATAGAGGCGCAGAACCTCGTGTTCTCGTTCGCTGCCTCAAGACGTCTCAAAGTGAAGACGCTGGACGTCACTAACGCCTACTTTCAAGGCGAAGCGATAGACAGGGTACTCCTGCTATCACAGCCTAAGGGCGGGTTGCCAGGGCTAAAGCCCGGTGATCACATGCTAGCAAGAGCCCCGATTTACGGGTCAACTGACGGCGGGCGAAGGTTCTGGAAACGTTTGAGAACGTTCCTGAAGAACAAAGGTCTTCGGGAAAACAAGATCATGCGCGCCTTGTACAGCTACACGGACGAGAAGGGAGTTGTACAGATGCTCCTTACGCCCCACGTGGACGACCTGTTGTGGGCATGTGACCAGTCGTGCGACTGGATCATCAAGGAAATCATCGACGAGTTCAAGTGTGGAACCGTCGAGAGCGACAGCTTTCGGTATTGTGGGAAAGAGGTGAAGCAAGATGAAGACTACAACATCCACATTACCTGCGGTGACACGACGAGGACGATCAAGACCAAGAAGATCCCAATAGCACCGCGCCGTCGCCCCGGAGATCCCTTAACGGACTCCGACAGGACGCAGATGAAGTCTGTGGCAGGCTCACTTGCCTGGGTGTGCCGACAGTGTCGGCCAGATCTCTCGTATAGGGTTTCGCGTATCCAGTCAGCTTCAAACAGTGGCACTGTGGCTGACATCAAGGAGGCGAACAAGACCGTGGAGTATGCGGTTAAGACCTATGAGAGGGGTATTACCTTCAGATCCGGGTTACTGGACTGGAGTAAGCCCGGCGGTCTGATGAGTTTAGTGATCACAGACGCCTCGCACGCCAACGAAGAGGAAGAGCTTTTGGTGAATGGCTCAGTGTCTGTGGAGCACCACAGGAGCCAAGGTGCGAGGATGATCTTCGTTGCCACACCATCCCTTTGGGACCAAGACAAGGGAAGCGTGCATCCAATAGCTTGGGCTTCGAACATAGTTCGGAGGGTGTGCAGAAGCACCATCCAGGCGAAAGCTCACACCTTGCAGGCGGGTGTGGAAGACGGAGACGTGATTCGCGCAGCAGTAGCTGACCTGTTTGGGGTACTGGGCCTCAAGAGATGGGAAGCTTCAGCCGCGAAGTTCATGAAGCAGATCTGGTTCACAGACTGCAAATCTCTGGAGGAGACATTGATGAATCCGAAGTGTTCGAAACACTCGGACAAACGTCTCTCTATAGAGATAGCGTCCTTGAGACAAGATCTCTGGAGGAAGAAAGGAGAGAAGGCTGGCGATCCGTACGAAGAAGACCACCGTCCGAGCGACGAGTTTCTCACAGACACGGTACGTTGGATAGATACGGACGTAATGGTGGCCGATCCACTCACTAAGGTAATGGAGCCAACCAAACTGGTTCACGTCATGGAGACGAAGGAGCTGGACGTTAAGCAGCCAATAGATAGCATCGTGAAGAAACGAGCTAAGCAACTCCAGAGAAGGAAAGGGAATCCAACTGAAGCGGATCCAAAGAGGACGGCTAAGTACCGATCCTGTACGTCTCACTCTTTTGTCACACTCTAACACCAGAAGAGTCACGGGTGTGATAAAGTGCTAGTTAGGTGCGTGTATAGAGTGTGTGCACCTTGAGAGCAGCCTTGCAGAGACGTGTCCCTCTACCGCACAGGGCCCTTTTTGAGTCAAGCCGGCGAAGGCAAAATGAGACCAGTCTCGCAGCCGTCTTTTGACGCTATCGAGAAAGCTTTCATCACCCAGCGCGGCAACTTCTTTCACTTCTTGGAGAGCAAAGCTGCTCCCAAATCCTCAGGGTTTGTTTCCCGAGGAAACTCCTACAAAGGGAGTCCCTACAAGGGAAAAGGCAAAGGAAAGAAGGGTTCGTTTCAGCCCATAGCATACCTGGCCGATCCACAAGACCTCTTCGAGGATTACGGAGAAGAGGAATCCGTTTGGGATCCTGAGAGCGAAGAGGAGTTGGTTCAAGCCGATGACAATGTCACGGCGTTCTTGGCTGGATCGCTCGAAGATGCGACCGCCGAGAACATAGAGCTGGATGTGATGGAGGCTGTTCACCAGAGTTTGATCTGGAGGACAATGATAATATTGCCTTGATGGCCCAGGCTTGCCAGGCAGAAGTTGTTGCTTACTTTGCCCGTTCGAAGGCAAAGGGCAAAGGTATGCCGATGGGTAAGCATGCCCACGGCTACAGTCCGAGGCCCAGCGGTCTATCGATAGAAGACCGAAGAAAGAAACTCAAAGAGGTGAAGAGCCGTAGCACTTGTAAAGTGTGCGGCAAGAAAGGGCACTGGGCCGGAGACAGAGAATGCCAAGGCAAAGCGACTGGAGCATCCAGTGTTGCCAAAACTACACATCTTTCCGCAGCTTCGCATCTCTGTTTGAGACGCAGCTGTCCACATTTTCACGTCGGCTCTGGCAGAGAAAGCTTTGACTCAAAACAAGAGTCACAGCACGAAGCGTTTGTGGTTATGGATGATGATCCAAGCCATCCTGAGGCTCACCCAGGGTTCTTTAATCCGGGAGACTTTGCGGATGAAGACGAAAATGAAGAGCTCGTCGAAGACGACTCTTTTGAGTTCCTCGAACCTCCTCCTGAGGGATCGGACACCCCGTTTTCGGGTTCGGACTTCACAGAGGAAAGACTTTTGGGGAAGTGGTACAGGACTATCCTGACTACTTATCTGGGGCATTAAGGAGACTTCTACAAGTCCAATGCTGAGGGAGTTTTTAGTGTTTTGTAATAAACACTACGTCTTCCCGCAAGGTACAGCGCAGAGAAGAGACTTTTCTCTCTCGCAGAAAAAAGCTGAAGACTTCGCTCCGGGGAGGGACTGGATTGTGGCTCAAACAGGAGTAAGCTTTCCAACCTAAAGCCGAGTCCATATGGACCGTGCTCAGAAGGCTGTAGCTTACCAAAGAGAAAGCTTAGCTAGTGCTTTTGCTGCTGCCCCTAGCTCAAGCTTAAGGCCTCAAGCCCAGGCCCCACCGCTGCTTGGAGAACCTGGGCAAAGTCGCGTGCGTGCTCTCTTTGGCGCGAGAACCCGCACACTTACTGTACGGCGAGGAGAAGAAAGAGAAGAAAGGCAAAGGCCGAGGCTGGAGCAAGCGCCCTGCTGCAACTTGAGAGCCCAAGGGGAGCGTTTTTCCAGCCCCCAATGGTGCTGGTGACGGTTTGGTAGACCGCGTCAAGGCTGAAAATGCCAATCGAGAGCGTAAAGCTTCGCCTCTTCTCGCAAGAAGAAGCAGACGAAGGAGAAAACGGCAGCGTCATCGTCGAGAGACGTGAAGATGAGAGATGATGAGGAAGAGGAGCTCGAATTCCTCGATGACCTCACTTTCGTCGAAGACCTCAGTCTCGACGATGGCTATGATCTTTCAGATATAGTCAACTGGGACGTGCCCGAGCTGGAGAAGATCACCTACGTTTTTCTCCGCCGCCTCTTTGCAGCTTTCCGACCGACCGAGACTTCGGCGGTGGATGGCATCATGAAGAAGTACAGCGACGAGTTGATCGCGCTGATGGGTTGCGTTGCCAAGAAGTACGTCGATGGCACGTAAGCGGCGAACATGTTTAGGGCAGTTCTGAATCTCAAGGCTCGGGACCCAGAGAGCTTCGGAAAGGAGTATCTCGAGCAGTCTTTGAGGGCCGCTGATGCTCTCATGGAGGAGCTGGACACAGCGGATCCTGAGCTGCCTAAGTTCGGAAAGCCCAAGCGAGGCACCGAAATTGACGGGGATGCTAGAACGGCAAAGAAACAGGTACATGTATGGTTACAGTGCCCTACTGGGAAGAACGGGTCGGCGAGGTGCACAGTACGGCATCATGCCGTCTATGTTACCCCGACGGTGCCCATCGTAATAACGGCATTGTACCCAAATGTACTTATCCGTAGATCGGAAAACACTGACTGGGAGTGGCGCAATAATCACTTGTAATGGGGTCTAAGGAGCGCTGTTGGTTTGAGAGGTAGTCTCACACCTTAGGTGTACAGGAAGCTCTTCTCTGGAGTGAGCTTAGGGGATCAAGGAAAGTGACACCAAAGAACGTGCCGTCTCGCCTCGAGATAGCGTCTTATTCTTGACCGCTTAACATTCAAAATATGTTTTTGAATTGTGCCGCACTTCGAAAAGCTTCGGGCCACATATGCTGTCTGATCTGATGGCGCTTGGCATATGCAGATTGGCTCTCAGGTGTGAGAGGAAACTTTTCTTGAGGTCCCTCTAAAGGCCCGTACTGCATCTAACAGGTTCCGGGTGCTATCAAAAGGCTGCTCCATAGGAGCCCGTGCACGCCGGCTTGTGGCCGGCAGATGGATAGAGCCTCCATGGAAGGCCGCTTCTGCTGCTTGTCGCAGCTCAGCCTGTGCTTTGGCATTGCATCGTCTCGTGCTTGCGGTCACATCGTGCTCGCTGCCTGCGAAAGCTTTTAGCGACTCCTCGGATTACTCTCTTGAGGATTCAGCGTGCCGGCAAGAAGGACAATAGGGGAGAGTTGTGGTTGTCATTTTGCAGTAGCTTCTCCCGATGAGAAGCGACCTACCTGACTCGCCCGACTGGGGCGACAGTGATGCTGAGCTTGATGCTGAGATTGCAGGTGAGCAAGGCTTGGTCTGGCCGGGGGACGACTGTCCCGAGCCTCCCGACCGCGGGGACGGCGAGTCCGACGGTGAGGCCGCAAGCTCCTTGAGCCTGGTGGGCGCAGGGATTGGCTCTTCGGGCTATTCGGGGGTTTCGGCTTTGGGCTCTTCGAGGGATCTTGACTCCATTGATGTTGATGTAGACGGCCAGAGTGGTACATGCACTACGAACATGTGCACGCCTTCAGTAGGCTGTCGCAACCCAGCGCCTCGCCTTCTTTGCTGTTGCCTTGGGAGACTCCCTTAATGAAGACCATTTTTGAGCCTTTGTCCGAGCCCCTGCCTGAGCTTAAGAAACCCTCTTTAGGCCTCGCCGACTTGTCCCCTCCCGAGTTTGCGAAGTATCTGCCCGATGCAAGTAGCAGTGCAAGTGCCGCGAAGCCTGTACATCCTAGCCTCGACTTCAAGGCAGGCCACGCCGCCGAACAGGCCATCAGAATGCTTGACGACGATGATTTCGAGAAGAAGCAGATTAAGCCTAGAGAACCTCCCCACACCGCGAAATCTGAAGAGCTCCCTTACCCTCAGGGCGCCTTTTATGCTGGCATGTACCGCAAAGGCAATGGCATCTCGGGCCTTCGCAAATCCTGTCGGGAATTCCCCTTGTCTGTCGCAGCCATCAATGCGTTCATGGCCCGTGCTGTGCCTACAGCTTCTTACAATGCATTTGCCATACTTGACAATGTCGCTTCCCCTGCACACCGTGACCTGCAGAATGAACCGGTGGCCAGTCATGTGCTGGCCCTCTCTGCTTTCGCAGGCGGGGGCATCTGGGTACAGTGCCCCCGAGGGGCCGTCTGCCGTCGTGTTGCTGGGGTTAACACTCCTGGCAAAGTGCTGAGCCTTGATAAAGGCCCTGTGCAGCTGGATGCTGCTTCGAGTTTGCACTCTACTGAACCTTGGCAGGGTGATCGTGTGATCCTGTCTTGCTACACCTTGAAAGGCTATGACCTCTTGACGTCTGACCAGTGCAACAGCCTCCTGCAACTCTCCTTCCCCTTGCCCTTGCAGGTTGGGCAATGCGCCCGCCCGTCACCTGTGGACTATGCGGCCTTGCGCGCTGCCACTGGTACACAGCCCAAAGCCAGCAAGACGGTACCCTTGGTACCTGAACATCGTGCTGTCATCGTTGTTCGAGGCCCGGCCCAACTGCTCCAGCCTCCCTGTGTCCTCAGACAACGCCTTGAAGCTGACTGGGCGGTGCCGACATCATGCACGTGTGCCTGGCCTTCCATTCCGAAGTATTCCCAACTTCTTCGGAGTGACTTGCTTGATGTTGAGGTTAAGGAGGGAAGTTCTGGGAAGGTGCTTGAACTTGCGTGGGGGACGCCATCTGAGTTTGTCGACTGCGCAGTGGCTGCAGGCCACCCCTCCCTGCTCGAAGCGAACCTCCCGCAGGAGCTGCAGGATGCGATTACGGATTCTTCAAAAATGACTCCCAAAAATCTTGCCTCACATAGGCTAAGGGTGCTCAAGGAGTGGTCCCGCAGGGCAAAGGACCTTGAGAAGGATGAGAAAGCCTTTAAAAGTTCCTTTCACCCTGAGGTTCGACCGATCCTAGCCCCTAAACGCCTTCTCCTCTTTAAGAGCCTCCTGCAAGAATATGGTTACCCGGATTTAGATGCCTTCAATGAGCTCGTCAGTGGAGTCAGCTTGACCGGGGATGCTCCACACACTGGGATCTTCAATGCGGCGGAGCGGCATGCTTCTATGTCTGAGGCCGAACTCAAAGCAAAGGCGAAGGTCATCCAGCAGGAGGTGCTTGGAAAGGTCACCAGTCAAGGAAGTGAGATTGATGCGATCGTGAAACAGAAGACGGCGGAGGAAGTGCAAAAGGGTTGGCTTGTAGGCCCCTTTGAGATTGAGGACCTGCCCGAACATGCCATCATAAGCAAACGTTTTGGTCTGCCACAAGCTTCTGGAAAAACCCGCCTCATCGATGATTTCTCAATTTCGCATGTCAATGAATCTGTTGGGGCTGGTGAATCACCGAAGCCGCATACCGCAGATGTGCTCTGTGCAATGACCCTTCAGGCCATGAGGGCTTTTCCTGGAAGAAAGTTCGTGGGTCGTGCCTACGACCTACAAGCAGCCTATAGGCAAGTCCCTGTCCATCCCTCATCCTCGTGGGCTTCGTATGTTGCATATTATGACTGTGACGAGAAGAGGCCTCGCATATACAGGTGTCGTGCTTTACCGTTTGGAGCAACCAAGTCAGTCTACGGATTCCTTCGCATATCGCACGCCTTATGGTGGCTGGGAGTGGTTGCGCTAAAGCTGGCTTGGTCACTATATTATGACGACTTTGTCGTCCTCTCCGAATCCTGCCTTGCGAGCAATACCAACAGTTCAATCCAAATCTTCTTCACTCTCCTTGGGTGGGCCTTTGCGAGGGAAGGTTCGAAAGCCGAGCCGTTCAACAGCATTGGGCGTTCGGCTGTCCCTTGCTAGTTTCCCTTCGGGCCGTGCGGAGCTGTGCAACACTGAGTCCCGCACCAACGAGTTTTGCACGTCTATCCGTGCGATCATGGACGCTGGTACGTTGACCAAAAGTGCAGCACTAAAACTCCGTGGCAGGATGCAGTTTGCTTGTGGGCAGGTCTTCGGTAGGTTGGCCAAGGTTTGCCTCAAGCATCTCACTGATTTTGCTTACGGCGATCTGCCTCCAAATGTGCCTGCTAATCTTCTTCATGCGCTTCAAGGGTTTTGCGGGGTCCTCAAGGAAGCTTCTCCTAGACTGGTGCAGGTCATGCGACAGGAACCGATGTTTGTTTTCACCGATGCTTGCTTTGAGCCCTCGGCATCGGACTGGAAGTGTGGCATTGGCGGTGTCTTGTTCAATCATCGAGGTGATCTTATCGGGTCCTTCTCTCACTCCCTATGCTCTCGGCATCAAGACCTTCTTGGTGCGCAGGTTCAAAAGACGATAATCTTTCCCGCCGAGCTTCTAGCCCTCCTTTGTGGAATGAGGCTATGGCTGCCGGCCCTGAAGGGGCGACCCACTGTATTCTTTGTAGACAACAATTGCGCTCGTGACGTTTGCATCTCTGGGTCAGGCCGCGCCGCTGTCATCAAGGCCCTGTTGCAGGTGCTTCTCAAGGATGAAGAAAGTGCGGGCATTGCTTCGTGGTATCAGAGGGTGCCAAGTCCTTCAAATCCTGCAGACGACCCTTCAAGAAGGAAATGTCACCACGTCACAGTCGGTCGCAAGACTGTCAAGTGCACCGATGTTGAAGAAATAGTGGAAAAGATTTTCTTTGAATTTGAGGCTAATAAGGGAAGTTTGTTGTAGGTCCCTGTAGGGAGGGGTGTGCACACCCGTGGCCCGCCGTGGCAGTGTACCCCCTCTAAGTCCCAACCCTGTAGGCTTAGGTGTCGCCAAAGGCGAATACTTAGTGCTTGAAATCTCGAACTGAGATGACAAAGCGAGTGTCGCAGCACCTGCTGCGACAAAACACAGAGTGCTCCCTTGCTACCGACGGAAAAGAGTGTTGTGTGCGTGAGTGCGTTTGTGAGTGAAGCCTGCAACGTTCTGCTGTTCAGACTTGTGTAAGTTTTGTGCGGCTCTGGGTTCAAGAATAAAAATTGATCTGATCGGTCAATATTCCGACGGATTTACAGGCTCATACTGGCGAAACAAAGTTTCCTAGGAAGTCCAGAGGATCGAGTCCGACCTCTTTGTAGTTTTGTTTCAGTGTACAGGAGTTTCACCACTTAGTCAAGCTAGCTCTCATTGGCTGATGCAGCTCGTGTCCGAGCAAAAAGGGTGGGTACTCGTCTTAGACGAGATAGGTTCCCGTAGGTGGGAGGACTCAGAAGGATTGGAATTTGAGGATGGTAAACACTTCGAGATATACTATGCTAGAGGTGACGTTTGCATAGGCACTTGTACTCAGCGCATAGGTGAAGTGTTGTGTGATTGGATTGGTCAAGACCACTGCGTGTACTATTCTCCGATTAGTATAGACACAGTTCATGAGTATGAGGACTTCGGGGTACTTGCAGGTTCAAGAACTCCAAGTCGCCTTCCCCGCTGAAACCCAAATCGAAGAGAGTTTTGAGCAAGGAACTTTAGATAGGGTTTTGGATGAAAGTGGACAAGAAGAGGAACAATCCCTTCTTTACAAAGACCCTCAACAGGATCAGGATGAGGACCTGTTAGAAACTCTGCCTTTGGCCGGTTTCCCAAGAGATTGAAGCCGAGAGTAGGCGCGAATGGGCTAAAGTCCCTCCCAGAACGAGGATCGCCATCAGGCGACTTCACAATATGATGTCCCACAAGCCGAAGGAAGTTTTGTTGCAAGTCTTAAAGGGTTCAGGAGCACCTGAAGAAATGATCAGGGCTGCTAAGACATTCAGATGTCCAACCTGTGCTGTGTCACAGGAAAGCCGCAAGATACATCCTGTTTCAGCACCTTGTTCCTATATTTTCAATAAGGAAGTCTCTATAGATATCTTTGAAGTTCAAGACTTTTCGAGACGAAAGTACCAGTTCCTGAATATTGTATGTGTCGGGGCTTGTTACCAGGTCGTTGCCTTAGTCAGAGTTGGCGAAGGACAACCCTCAAGCGCGGAATGCTTGAAGAAATTTCAGCGATACTGGGTGCAGTGGGCAGGATGGTCCGAATATGTTTCAATAGATCGGGGTTTGCACAACAGAGGCAGGTTTTGCCACTGGTTTGTCTCAGCACGGAGTTGTTTTGCGACAGGCAGGACTTGAGCATATCGGCCGGTAAGAGCGTCATGGAGGCATTATCAAACGTGCTTACGGACGTGTTTGCAAGATGCACAATTTGAATGGCAAACAACAGGTTAAAGCTGCTATGACAGAATATCAGGTAGCAAAGAATGAATTCATCCGTCATGGAGGATTCTCACCGTCACAATGAATTTTAGTCGACAGCCAAAAGGCATTGCCCACCTACTTGACTGTAGTTTTGCATCGCAGCTTGCGTAGGAGTTTGTATGGTCGTGTACAGTCATCATGTTGTGTATCATATACCGTCGACTACCTCTCAAGCCCTCTGAGTAAAAGTGTAGCGCGCACGCTCATGGCTTAACGGTTTTGGTGCATTCTATAGGTTATCAGCCGTATTCGCTGACTTTGTCTCCGTGGTATTCTTACATTGGTATTCACACTGGTATATGAGCACTTCTCCCTCCCTGATCACCACTGAGAAGGGAGAAACAACCGAAGTGTCATCAGACGAGATGGACGATGAAACAAGAGATCGACTATTAGACGAGCAACTCGCAACGGCTGGCAGGGGCCCTATTGCACCGAGCTCAGGATCCCAAGCGCATGATAGGATCTTCGGTCCAGGGGGTCCTACCCTTACGCCGTTTGTCTCGAACCCGTCGGTCGACATCTCGAACGTACAGTACACATTATACAATGTTGTGAACCAAGGTGAGACAGCCGAACAGCAAAGATTGGCAATGGAGCGAACGGAGGCAGATGCTGAAAGAAGACACACAAGCATTCTGAACCAACAATCGCAAGATAACCTTATGAGAATGGCTGGCATGGCTGAACAGGCCGAGCGCCTTCATGAGGTGAAGATGGCAGAATGCGAAGCACAGTTTGCGGAATTTGAGTTCAACGTATCCCGAAGGGAAATGTTTTTGTTGAACGAAGTTGCAACATGCAGGAATGAAATGAACATCATGGAATCAGTTTTCCAACAACGACATCAGTCGGAAATCGCTAAGCTCAGAACTACTCTGATCGCTGAGAGCGAACGCAACAAAGCGCAACATCTTGATTTTCTTGGAATGCGATTCAAACAAGTCCTTGATGAAACCGAAGCGAGTATGGAACAGCGTTTTATGAATGAAATCGCTGAAATGAGTGCACAAAACGATAGACTGCAGGACGAACTGGCCGCCGCAGAACGAGCTCTAAAAATGGAAGCTGACGCGGACGAAGCGGGCAAACAACATGCCACGCCGAAGCCAGAACCAAATCCTGCTGTACCATTCTCGAATCCATTTGAGATTCCCGAGAGCATGAAGGATATCTTCGGAAGAACGCCGCGAGCTCAGGAACCTACACAAGGTGTCACAAGGGACTTCTGTACCACCTGGGTTTGAGAGCAGGGAACCACAAAAGGAAAACTCTCCTAAAGCTGCCCAAACGGGCAAGCCGGAAACTGCTGATCCAGAGGGGGTTCCAAAGGTTGATTTCGGAGCTGAGGCATTGCTTAGGGCAGCGCGTTTGCTAAACCCTAAGACCGAAGAGGAAGAGGGGAAACCAAAGGTGAAAGAAGCCGAAAGCATCAAGCTTCCTAAATACCCCAATCCAGAGACCTACCGATCATGGCGGATCTCGGTCCGCGAGATTGTGCGGGCTGCGAGCGATCGCCCGGACGAGGCATTTCGCTGGGTGCAGGAAGTATACGATAAAGAGGCTACCCTCAAGTCCTTGCACGATACCGGGAAGTTCTTAACACTGGACACGAAATTGTTGGCTGCACTTACCAGAGTCGCTAGAGGAGAGATTTCAAGGCAAGTTCTAAACTTCAAAGAAACAGAAGCCACAGGAGGACGCGCCGTCAGGGGAAGACAGGTGTTGTGGATGTTTCATCAACACTTCAAGACCAATGAGGAAGTCGGAAGCCTCTGTAGCGTAGAGGACCTTCTAAAAGTAAAGCTGGTTGGGGACGATTTAGCCACCTTCCTTTACAATTTCGAGTCGGTGATTGCTGGAATGAGTCATGTTCCGGATGAGGTTACCTTGAGGGACATCTTGCTGAGGGAAATTCGGAAATCCGACCATATCAAGTACGATCTTCAGTTGTACGACAGGGCAAAGGAAGGAAACCCCGTACACACGTACGAATTCCTTGTCAATGCCATTAGGGAGCATCTGACTAGGGAGCGTATGCGCAAAAATCGTGATCGCATTGCTAAATCGCACGGCGATAGGTACGGAGCCCCAGCAAACGGATCGGAACGACGCCCCTCTTCACGAGGAGGCCGTGGTAGAAGCATTTCCCGAGGTAGCTCAAAATCCAGGACAAGCAGCAAAGGATCAAGCCAACGAACACCGCCGAGATCTCAGAGTCCCAAAACGCAACAGATTTGTTACGACTTCCAGAAAGGAAAATGCACAAGAGGTGACAAGTGTTGCGAACGGACTGCGATGCCTTGTCAAGTTCTAAGGTGTCACTATAA